ACTCTATTTACCATGCATGTAAATATTAATAATCCAATTTATGGCACAAAGCTTTAATCAATCCCCTTCAAAAACACAACACATTCAATACAGATGTTCCTTAGTCCTCAGAAGAGCTTGGTTTTTATTATTTTATTAAACAAAAATCAAAGTAAGGATAGGTGTAATTTCAATCAGGGGAGTGGGTGCTGCAAATGAAACACAGCAATTCAACTGCAAACTTCTCATTTATCACTTGTTTCTCTAAAACTGACCATGTTGGTTTGAACAATTCTAATTGGTGGATGTCTTTAGGAGCCAAGCCTCACGGGGCTTTAAGGGACAAAGAGCACTTTAAATTGCCAGAATTTATTTAGAATACTAGTAGGAGCCAATGCCAATTCTATAGCTGTCAGCCCCACTATGCCTAGGCTAAAGCTACTTTTATTAAGACGGACTATAACAGAACTTGTGAGTCTGATTGTGCTGTACCTCCATGCTGTACCTTATCTATATAAATAAAAATGCAAATGTTCGTTTGTTCAAAATCTTAAATCTCCGAAAGTTCTTCACCGATTGCTTTGAAATTTTGACACAACGTTGCATTCGAATAAGCGCGTTTTTATATACCTACTATTATATAGATGTCACACCTGTGACAGGTAAAAACATGCTTTTTTTGAAAAACAGAGCCATCTGTTGGACGTAAAAGCAACACACACAGAGACTGAGCCACAGCAACGCGTGGCCGGGTACAGCTATTTCTTCTAATAATTCAGTGAATAAGGAAGGCATCTGATAATACTTTCAAGTTCTAGATTTTAAAAAGTCTTCAACTCCTTTTGCTTTAGTAATAATTCCTGCATACTTCCAACACAGTTCTGCCACTTTTACAATCAATTTACTGGTTTGTTAAATATGTTTGAAAAAAAAAAGTAAAATGTTTCACAGCCAGGTGATGAATATGATGAGGGATATTCCTTACTTTAAGCACTAGGATAGTGATGGCGAATCTTTTAGAGACCGAGTGCCCAAAAACTGGCCCCGCCCCCGCTCCACCCCTGCCCCACCCCCCATCCCCCACCCTGCCTGCCCGCAGGGCCACTCACTGCCTCCAGGGCTCGCCACAGATCGCCCAGCAGCGCTATGGCAGTCACGCCCTCTGCCCACACCCTGCAGCATCAACTGCACGATGGGATGTGAGGGCAGTCTTGTCTACGCTGCCTGGCTGCCATGTCCTTGGCTGCGCTGCTCCGCGTGGGCCACATTCAGGGGCAACTCTCCTTCAGGGGGGCTACTGGAGAGGAGGGGGTCACGGGGGGAGACGAGGCTGGGGCAGCGGCACGTGTGCCCACAGAGAAGGCTCCGAGTGCCGCCTCTGGCACCCATGCCATAGGTTCGCCACCACAGCACTAAGAACAGCTTGAATAAAGATCTGAAATCCATATGAATTTCTACCCCTAAAGCAAGATTTGCATCATTCTGTACAACTTTTAGGAGAACTGTTTCAGAAAAACATGTCTTTTGCATGTACTGTACCTCTGTTCTTACTTCCTCTTTTTCCATCTCATATTCATTTGTCAAATTAAATTAAAACTTTATGCTTGTTCCATAATGCATCTGTTAATCATCAAAAAGACACAAAAAACTTTTCCCCCCAGATCATAAATCTCCATAAAAAGGAGACTGTTCCTTGCAAAAAATACATCTGAGGTTCTCTGTAATCAAAACCATTCTTTTGTGCAACATAAGTTAATTGGCATGACTGCAAGTCACATTTAAAGCCAGGAATTAGGACATCTTTTGTTAGTTTTTCAGAAATGCTCTAATTTTCTTTTTCTTTTCTGGTTCAAGATCCACATAGGTTTTCCATTAAAACAAGATATAGTCACTTTTGCTGTAAAAACTTCTGTTTGCCATTGATTTTTCAACTTGTATTATCCTAGGAAAGATAGTAAGCAGGACCTGTGTGATAAAATAGGGGACTCATTTTCACCAAAAAAATTAACCAATTTTATAGCGGATCTTAAGAAGACAAAAGGCTGCAATTCAAATTTATGTGGTCCTGTTATGCCCATATAGCTGTTCAATTTTTTTCTGGAAGCCTTTAGAGTTTTGTTTTCCCTGCCACTGAAATCAAAGAAGAGATTATGGCGGAAAAAAAGTATGGAAATTGCGCTCGATATGTTTATTACTTTGAAAACATATGAGGCTTAAGTCAGCATTGTTCAAACTTGGAAACTTTAAAGATGTGTGGACTTCAACTCCCAGAATCCCTCTGGGCTCCATTAAAAAAAAAAAACCCTATACCAGGGGTAGGCAACCTTGGCTCTTTTATGACTGGTGGACTTCAACTCCCAGAATTCCTGAGCCAGCCTGGCTCAGCTTGGAAACCTCTCCCTTTCCCCTCAGCATGGCTGGCTCAGGAATTCTGGGAGTTGAAGTCCACCAGTCATAAAAGAGCCAAGGTTGCCTACCCCTGCCCTATACAGACAATATAGGCAGCTTATTACAAAAAAAAAAAAAGCATATCTCTCTATATTCTGCTCTGTGATTTGTCAGCCGCTGATAGGGGGCGGAGAAAGCCATCCGTAGCTGACGAAATCCCCATTCCTTCTTTCGCTAATTGCAGAGGAAACGGAAGGAGGATCCCGCCCGTTCCGCACGTGCAGATTTACAGGGACGGACCGAGGGCCTGCCTTCCTTCCCGCTTCCCCCCCACCTTTAAGTTCTCGCCGAGAGCAGCTGCCTGCCTTTCTTTCCACCCCCGCCGTTCCGGCAATGGTTTGTCCCGGAGCAAAAAGCATAAAGGGAACCGAAGACAAGGGCGGACGTCCTTTTCTTTCTGGCGCGCGAGGGGAGCTGAGTTGTCTAGGCGGTTATGGAGGTAAGCAGAGCGGGTCAGGAGAGATCTGTGGGCAGCCTGCATTGGCCACCCATTGGTGGACCCCGCAGCCTGGGAGAGGATAGACTGCAGTGTTTCTCAACCTTGACAATTTTAAGGCATGTGGACTTCAACTCCCAGAATTCCACAGCCAGCAATGCTGGCTGTGGAATTCTGGGAGTTGAAGTCCACATGCCTTAAAATTGTCAAGGTTGAGAAACACTGGGATAGAGGCAAGTCGGTGTTTTTAGGGCCGGGGAAAGATAGAAACCGCTCTAGTTAGTAACGTTGCGCTACAACTCCGGGGTTGCGGGTTGTTAACAAGGGCGGCGCCTCGGGATGATTGGGGGAAACCCCGGCTTGCAGCGTCGCAAAAATCTCGCTCGCGAGTCACTCGAGCCTCGGGAGTAAAGTTCTACCGCATCGGCATTAGGCCACTAATCCTTTGCCTACGGTTTATGGAGCGGAGTTAGGATTGCGACGAAAAAGGCAGCCCCGTTCCTGCATCCAGCCCCGCTTGAACCGCCGTGAGAACTTAAGTCGGCGCAAACCTAGGAAAAAAAAAATTCGCCCGAGCAGATCCTGGGGTAGATAAGAAAACGTGCCTCCATTGAGCCACCGCTCCTCTAGGCCAGGGGGAGTCAACCTTGGCTCTTTTATGACTCGTGGACTTCAACTCCCAGAATTCCTGAGCCAGCTAAGCTGGCTCAGGAATTCTGGGAGTTGAAGTCCACGAGTCATAAAAGAGCCAAGGTTGACTACCCCTGCGTCTAGGCAACGAAGCGCACCGGGCTAGGCGCACGGCGAAGCCTTGGCGGGTCCCCGGCCGGAACCTGGGAGCGCGGCGACGACGACGGCGACGACTTCCGGCGCCCCTCGTGACGTATATCCGGAAAGGCCGCCGATTGCGAGGCGCGCGACCAGTAAGAAGCACGTGGTGAGTCCGAACTCAACGGGAAGACCTTTGCATCCCGCTTGATTTTAGAGTCGCTTTTGAGTGACAGCTTCACTTTTCCTGGCAGCGTGAGGGTGACGCTCTTGCTAAACTCCATGCACGGAGCAAATGTCTTACTTAACTGCATGGTGTGCGAGCATGCAAAGCNTTTGGCGTTTGCTGCGTATGGAACAAAACTATATCCTAAAACCAAGGATAACTTTAAATACACCATTGTGTAAATTGCTTTAAAAATAATGCTTGGTTGCTAATGCATGTGCTGTCAGAGAAGGCATAAAGCAGGTTTCCCCTATTGCAGTCTTTTTCTTTGCAACACTGGGGATTATTCCTTTGGCGTTTGCTGCGTACGGAACAAAACTATAGGCTAAAACCAAGGATAACTTTAAATACACCATTGTGTAAATTTGCTTTAAAAATAATGCTATATTTGCATATAAAAATAATTTGCTTTTGAAAACATTTCCTAGTGCAGCTTATAATAATCTGTTCCATGCTAGGATCGCTGAGGATAAATGGTTGAAAAAGGTCCCCAGCGTTTCACATGCCTACCCTTGCATGTTCTTAATCACATTTTTCCACTTTGAATTTGGATCACTGTACAGCATTACTATTCATTTTTAGATCTTCAGAGTCAGAAAATAATAGGGAAAACAACTGTCCACTTTTACTGAAAAAGTTTGTGATATAGGGATTAGGATTTGGAAAACCTGGATTCAAGAACCTGCTTGTCCACATTAATTGTATAGCTTTGGAGCAGTCCACTATTTCTTAATGCAGTTTCCCTCAAGAGTTGTTGAGTGAATAAAAATGATGAAAGTGCTTCATGTAGACCATTTGTTCACAGAGGAAAGCTGTAATAGTAAACAAATTATTTCCCTGAAGAAATTACTTATGCAGTAGGCTACTTGCTTGGACAGTCTTCCACCACTAAGGTGGCAATTATATTTGTCAAGGTTTTACTTTCTCTTCTTTAAACTCGGGTTTTAACTATAGAATTTTGCAGCAATACAAGTACTGTAATGACCTTGTAAAGATTCAATTTTTTGGTGTGTTTTTCAGATGTGAGAAAGAAAAGGCTGCCATTTTGAATGAAAACAATGCTTTAGGATGCAGGTATGAATCCTACAAAAACTATTTATCAGATAATAGATTAAAAATTTAGAATTTCAGGATGTAAAATTTTGCCTTTGTGTTGCCCATTCACACTGGCTTTGGTGAATGTGGTGTCAGAAAAGGCATACATCAACTCTAGTTGTAATGTGTTCATGAATGGATTATTCATTTTTCTCTGCATTTCAGCTAGAACACACTCTTTTGAAGAACATTATGCTTCTTCGGCATCTGCAGGAATAGCTAGATAGATATGGTCTTTATTCTTTGTCTCATCAGAATATATCTATATATTTGTGTGTGTGTGTGTGTATGCATGCAATTAATATTACTGGATGTGGTGTTTTTTTCCAAAAAATACCTAAATGTTTAGAAATTATTTTTACACTTGCAGCTTGTTCTTTTATACTCTTATAACATGTATTGTTCTTTGTTAACATTATACAGTTAAGCTGCCCGATGGATTCCTTGACCTTTCCATCTTGACCTTTCAGTGCTATTTGAGTTGGTGATATTAAAAAGTACATCAGGATACAGTTTGGCTGCCTTTCAGGTATTCTGCCCCAAAGCTTTTTTTTTTTACTCCAGTGTAGTGCTTCTCCTCTATTGCTGGCTCTCTACCTATAGCACACCAGTTGTAGTTCCTTGACAATCTTCAAACATGCCACTGATTTAACTGCCATACAACGGCATAATTTTGCTGCATTTTTCAATTTTTGGATGGATTACCAGTTGGAATAGGAATGGTTTGGTTTTGGGAGGCTTTCTACTCCTGTTGCTACCTTACCTTCCCCTTAAACCATTTCCAGGAATGGCACAACATCATGAGCTGACAGGACTCCGTAATGATCCAGATCTAAAGAAAATGTTATTTAGAGTCTGCATAGGTATGCCTGTCACTCATCTTAAATTGAACTTACTTTTCTCCTGAAATTGCTCAACAGGGAAAGACATGTTGGAATGTTTAAAGAAGTGCTGAAAATTGTGAAGTGATTGTTCCTGTTTGCTCCAAACGTTTGCTTTTTGCTCCTGTTTGCTTTTTCCCGTTCAAAGAGGAAATTTTGTATAGGGCTTTTGGAAGCTTAACCGGCTTCCCAATCAGCTAGGTTTAGCTTTGCAAATTCTCTCACAGTTTCTTGGTTTTAACTGCTTCTATCTGGCTATCCATTTCCTTGCCTCTATTCTCATTTTGGCCTTCCACTGCAAATAAAATTTAGCATGCCTCTTACTATTACAAAGTTATATTTCTTTTCTAAACATTCACACTTTTTCTCCCTCCCCATACTTCAGATAATATCTTAAATTGGACATTACTGAGTTAAATGTGTATTTTTTTTCCTGTTCCTTGTAGTTTGTAGAATGACTGATCCAGAAAATAAAAGAGAGAAGATGGGCTTTTTGCAGAAAGACTGGCGAAAGAACCATTGTTCTGAGGCAGTTTCACAGCATCTCTGCAAATTTATTTCCCCAGGGGAGGGGGAAAAAACTTGAAAATGGATTCCGGTTGAAAGAGGCATTTTTGCCTGTTGCTGTTTTCCAAATATAAAGGAAACACTTGCTGCAGTTTGAACATCACACCATTTCTAAGGCATAACTGAGACAATCTTGGACATCAGCCTGAGTTTTCACTTCAGTTTGAGGAATCCAAAGATCTGACAGATTTCCCAAGTGGTAGTCAACTTGAAGAGGGTATTCATTTCTGTGAAAGGAGAGCTATTCAAACACAAGAAGTGAAGATACAATGCTCTGAAAACAAATTTCCTTTTTCACAATTTGACATCTATCAATACTTGAGGGGGCACCAGCTATGGTGGACAACACTAAAAAGTTTATTGCTCTCTGCAACATAGAATTAAAAGTTTTTCATCTTTATTTTGTATCATGAAAAAAGTTGTTCTGTGCTTGGGTTGTACAATTTATTTTTTTTCTAGATCTTGCTGCAAAAATATGAATTGTATTCGGACCACCTCCTTGCAACACAGGCTTTTTATTGCACTGCTGGAGGATGTTAGCACTGAAGTTGAGAATATTAGTTTCATTTCACAAATATCAGGTGTTTGGATGGCTAATAAAGGAAAGGTATTGGCTGTATTTTGAAATCTGATTGAAAAAGATATACAAAGTTTCAGCATTGAGCAATTTTGGCTAGTGGACTTGGCTTCTGTAATTTAATGTAAAACATTTCTATAAATATGGCCACAGGTTGTGGTCAAAACGACATACTTATGAATGCATTAATGATTCTGAAGTAAACTATTTTGTTTTTTCTGTTAACGTATTGGATTTTGGTCAGTAACTATAATAAGTTAATTTAGTACTTATAGCTATTTAATAGCAGTTCAGAGTTATTGCAAATTGGGTGTTTGGCAACCAGCTTGCATTTATGACTGGTTGCAGCATCCTACAGTCACGTGATCACAATTTGTAATCTTACCAGTTTCTAGGAAGCTGGATTCATTTAATGATTGCTGTAAAAATTATAAAATCATGTCTGACTCAGTTTATGACCTCAGTAGTTTACAACAAATTATGGTTCCAATTGTGGTAAGTCGAGCACTATCTGTATCTACTAGAGAATCGTCACTCTGCAAGAAATAGAGCTGGAGATCGTAGTTCTTAAAATGGCTCAATTGTGAAAGCAAATTCAAATCATGATTTCTGGATTCTAGTTAAATCACAAACATTTCCTTTGTTAGGAAATGCTACTGCAAATATATAATTTTATTTTTGATTGTTGTATTTGCATGAATCGCTTGTCTTGGCATTAAAATTTATATAGTCAGAAAATAGAAAACATTAACTGAGGAGCATCTGGGTGACTGCAAGCTGCTATCTCATATACTCCTAATTGCACTGAGCATGCAGATGACCCACAGTGTCGATCTTCACATTAGTCACCTGGGACTATGTATTTGCAGAACTGCACATCTGTTGTACGTAGAGAAATAATAAATTGATAAAAAGAGGTACAGATTTGGATAGTCTGCCCAAATAACAAGTACATGTCACATCTTTTAGTCTGTATGCAGAATGAAATGCTCTCTACTGAAATGCAATTGTTCTGGGCAGAACTGGGTCAAGGGGAAAGCAAGTGGCTGAGAAAAGATAGGTTTCCTTGACAATGATGTGTGCAGGCATAGGTAGCAGTTCAGGGCAGAAGGAAGTGGCTTGGAAGGGTGAATGTGGTGGATATGCTATTCTGGGACCTTGCTCCTTATTGCTGAGACCATTGCAGTAAGGAATAAATATCGGCCAATGTGTGGCAGAGCATTGAGGGAATAAAATGACAATGGAAAACTGGCATGCACACCGTGTGAAGAAGAGTTGAACAGGAATGATACATAACAGCCTTATTCAACTTGCTTTCTAAGACTCCAAATTTTTCTTTTTTATTATTATAGCCTCTGGTGATCTAGGTAGTTATGGCCTTATAAGATTATTGCATAGAGTTGAGCTTCAAGCATTGCAGGCTACTTTTGTATCGCTTGAAGGAAGCAGGCAGCAGTGGCTTCTGCAGCAGTACCAACTATCAGAATGAA